TCCCAAAATGATAAATTCCCTGTACCTTGTTAAGAAGCTGTCTCCCAAGCATAAGGATAGCAAGAGGTATTTCTTAAAATAACCATTTAAAAACAGCTCTGGTTTCTGGGTAACCTGTAAATTGTGGGGAAAAGGCTTTGGTTGGTTGTGATACGATGATGCTTCTTTACCACTTGGTGGCCGTGTGGGGAAGGAGGACGTGTGTGATGAGTCTTAAGTTTGGTGGTGGCAGGTTCTTGGCTGAGGGTTCCTTCCCTAAGCCTTGCCTTCTACTTCCTCCCCCCACCCCTCCACCTGGGTACAGTTGCCGAAGAGTCAGGTCCTAGCTCTGACTCAGCTGTGCCCATGGCATAGAGACCTTGGTTGGAGGAGTATGGATACCAGCGACTCTGGATCTGTTCCTGATTCCTTCCTTTGTCCGGGCCATGGGCAGCCTGCCTGAAACACTTGCAGCTCTAACCACTTTTACTGAGAGAAAAGTACTTTATAAAATGGAATGGAAGCTTGCACTTCAGCTTGGGTGGGATAAGTCAAGGTTACTTGCCCAAGATTTATCTTAAACTACAATTACTGCTAATGCAGTATCTAAATTACCTACCGCCTGAGAGTGCACCAGATAATGGGTGGCTAATTGTGCCTCACTTTCTAAACTTCAGAACCCCTAATCCTGCACCGTGATCAAGGTCCAGGAGCCCAGCTGGCCTTTGTGTAGTGTAGTTCGGGGGGCTGTGACATCTGTCACCAGACACTGTCATTCCAAAAACATGGCTGTCACGTATTGGCTGCAGCTACAGAGTCATTTTCTCCCTGCTGGTAGCAGAGAGGGTCAGGTTCTGTGTTAGTGGGACACTGTCACAGATAGGAGGATGGCAGCATCTGGAGAGGCCTGTGGCTGAAGGGAAGGGTGAACGGTACATAGGCTACACATTTTCTTAACCTTTCCCACTTCTTCTTTATAGCCAGAGCTGATCTCTTGGTGAGAGAAGTCTGTCTGCTCCTCCACCATCCAGGGCAGGGCCCTGTGAATCGTCCAGGTGTCCAGAGAGAATGAGAACTGGTTGTGGCCACTAGAACAACTGTTACTGTACTGAGGTCATTAAGAACACTGTCATCCTCTGCCTGCCGCTCTCCTTCCTGGGATGCCACAGTGTCCCCTGGGCACGCTGTCTCTTTCCCTGGCATCTGTGCTGTGTCAGGCCCCTGATTGGGTCTTCTGTCATTGGTAGAGAACATGATTTCACTTCTACCTCCCCACCACCGGCTTAGAGCTTGTCCTGCTTTTCCCTTGGGCCTTTGGAGTTTTTCCCAGAATGTGGCTCTCTCCCAGCTGCTTTGGGTTGTCACCTCTCACCTCACTTCTCTCCAGGAGCATCCAGGTGTCCACCTTCTGGAGCTTCATGAACTTAAGCCTCCCTGATGAACCCAGGCTCTCAAGAGAGGTGCTGCGTCCCCGCAGGGAGTAACAAGACACTGAATGCTGCCACCTGACATGTTTGCCTCTGAGGCCCCAAGTCCTTGAGGGCCATGATTGTACCATCATGTGTTACAGATAGAAGCTTTAACCTCGACAGTGGTCACTAGCTGCCAGACTGGGAATGATTAGCAGCCCTGTGGCTCCCCTGTTCTGATGAGAGTGTCTGCACTCACAGATGGGGGCTAGAGGCCTCACACTGATGGCATGTTTGGCCCTTCCAAGGTCTCTCTGTCCCCCACACCACTGACACCTCACAGCTGCTCTATTACAGTGGCTGGTGGGGCCCCTTCTTACCCACGTGTCCTGCCATCACCTCAGACCCAGCAGGTCTAGAACTGAGCTTGTCAGCTGCCCTAAACAGGTTCTGGCTTCTGAGTGCTCCCAGCCTACTGGCTCAGGCTCCCGGGATGTATATATGATACACCTTTGACTCACGTTTCACTTCACACCACTCCCACGGGTCCACCCAACTTGCTGTTTGCCAAGTACAAACTCATCACTGGGCAGAAGGCCATGGGCCTCCTTTTATGGCCCTTCTGTTGCAGGGGGACATGGCCTGGGCCCTCTGGGCCGGACACCTTCCAGCTGTCCTCTCCCTGTCACCCTGGTAGTAAGGACCCCTGTGGGGCCTGTCTGTTGAAATAGGAGAACTTTCTTCTCAAAAACCTGTCATGTTGACATCTGAGGCCACTTGAGGTATTGTGTACCGGCATCTAGACCCCTGACGTGGTGGTGTGATTCCCAAGCTCCTCTCATTCCCTACCCTTGTCACACTTACGTGAATTCCGTGGAAGGTTTTGACTCATCACGAGCAGCTGGCTGCCCCAGTAGAATCTCGTCAGCCATTTTGATATTTGCCAACTCCATCCTGCCCTTACATGCCTCTCTACTTTTCCACCCCCTCTGCCTGGAATGCATTTCTCCCCCTTATCTTCTGAGAAAGCTTCTACTCATCCCTCAAGACTCAGGGAAGCTGCACACCTGCCTCAGTTAGCATATATTGATACTGCGTCATAATTCTTTGTTTATACTTTTGCCTTCACTAGACTGCCTGGTCCTTGAGGGCACAGGGTTCAGGGGACGTTGGTGGAATGTACCTACCCATTTACTCCCAAGGATCCAATCATAAGCTTCTGCATGCTGTGCACTCTGCTAGGCATGGGGCACATAGGGGTGAACAGGGCAGACAGAGTCCCCCTGCCTCCATGGGGAGAGCGAGCAAGTACAGTTGGCAAGAAAGCAAATATATGGACGAGATACTTTAGAATTGCTGTGCTTCACAGGGGCTGCTCGAGGTGGAGGTGTTCAAGGAAGGCCTCTCTAGAAGACACATGGGAACTGAAACCTGGAAGATGAGAAGAAACCAGCCATGCAGAGAGCTGGGAAAGCATGCTCAGGGCTGAGGGGATGGCAGGTGGAAAGTTACAGAGGAGGTCTTGGAGTGTTTCGGGGCAGACAGGAGACCAGTGCTGCTGGAATGTGAGCAGTGAGGAGAGCAGCGTGGGGTTGGCATGGCCAGATTCCTACACTGCCTGTTTCATAGGTCCCGGGGCATGAGCAGTTTGGATTTTTCTTTCGAAGTAGTAGGAAGTCCTTAGAGGGAAGTATTTCAGACCTTCAGTATCTCTGAACAGGTGGGAACGTGCCGATTATTGTCCTGCTTCTGCTACCCATTCCCACCCCCCCCTTCCTGTTTCCTGCTCCCTCTCCTTTCTCCCCACTCCCCCCCCCACCCAAGCTTTCTTCTGTTCAAGCTCTGAGATCTGCACACTGCATTTGGGGTCTCCAGCTGTCCTGGCTGCTGTTCTCAGCAGGGGCAGCTCTGTTCCTTGCTGCAGCCTTGCCTGGTTCTTGCCACAGCCCTGAGGTGCCCATTAGGTTCCCACCTCCTCTGCAAGCTCCCATTCTCATTCCCGAGTTGATTGTGCAATGGTTCTTGGCCTACTGAAGCCCAGTGCCTGTTCCCGAACCTTCCTTGGCCTTTGCTCCTGTGAATCACTACCCTCCGCCTTCACACACATCGTTGGTTATCTCTCTTTGCCATGCCCAGGGGAACCAGCCTCTTGGACTTACCTGGGTTCTTCCTCCCTAACCCTACCCCACTGAATTTAAAGTCTCCTCCAGTGAGCTCTCTTGGCACAAATACATCCTGAGATTATTGCCTCACTTCAGAAACAAAAAGGAAAACAGCTAGCTTATATTGAGCACTTCCTATCTGTAAGGGATGTATTAATATTTTCTATGAAATAGTAATTCCTCATTTAGTCATGACATCAACCTGGTGATGCAAGTGCTGGTATTATACCCATTTTACAGATGAGGATACTGAGGCTCAGAGATCACATAGTAAATGGCAGAGCAGTGTTTGAACCCAGATTATTTGAACTGCTGCTGCCTGGGACAGTCCCCTGTGGTTCTTTGTGGTCCTAAAATCTTCATCTGCACCATCTGCAAAGCCACTTTTCTGTGTCTGCTCACTTTACTTTCTTCTCTTTGAAAGTCCATCTCTACAGGGAAAATGAGCAGAGACGCTCAGGCCCCCCTGTTTCCTGACCCGTGCCATCCTGGGGTAGAGTAGCCCAGCTTCTGTTCTCCATAGTGCTTATGCCCGTTGGGCACATGCATGGCTTTTGCTAAAGCAACAAACAACTCCTGCCTTCAGTTTATAGACATGAACTAGGTAGGGATTGCAAATACTATTGTCAGTCTCTCCCTGCCAGCCAGGGAATGGGTGGGAAGCAAGAAAAATGAGGAGAGGCTTCAGGAAGGCAGTTCAGCTGAAAAACCTTTCATAGAGGCAGAACTGACCAGAGACGGCACAACTGCCATCTTCCCCGTTAGATGGGAGACTCTGGGGCGGGGGGGCAATGGCTGCACTGGGTGTCCTTGGAGATGCTCTTCAGTCGTGAGGAGATGGGATGCTGTGCCCTGCATGGTGTTGGGTAGAGTAGAACTAAAATGGTAAAAAGGGCTCCAGGTTCCTGGGACAGAACTCTCCCCATGAAACTGTGCCGGCAGCCTTCTGAGGCCAGGCCCTTTTGACAATCTGAGAATCGAAAGTGGTGGTGGAGGTCTCATCCCAGATCACAACTACCCAACAAAAGCGTTGCAGGTGCTAGCCTAGGGCAGCCGGGAGATAGCTTGGTGCCTGGGGAGACTGTGGTGATCCCCGCTGCCGCAGGGAATGTCCTCTGGGGTCAATTTCCCTGACTCACAGGGATGCTCCCACCCCCCCAGCCCCTCGGCTCTCCCCTCCGCCCCGTGCTGGCTGCAACTTCTGGAACCTGGGACTCAGTTAACTGAGTCTCTTAATTTCAGAAGTGAGTGGGATCACATGCTAAAGGTTCATGGAGACAGAACACTTGTGCCAGGAGGGCAAAGTTCTAGGGCTGGCAGAATCGGGGGGTTCCATGCTAGGATTCTCGTGAGGGTGTGCAGTGTGACGATGAAGGAGGGCTTGCCGTCTTGCAGGCATCCCGTGGACCTCTCTAACTTTTCCTTTGTGCTGTGCTTGCATCTCCAGTAGGAGAAGGAGGAGACCGAGGGGCAAGGAGTCATGGCTTCCGATGCCAGCCACGCGCTGGAAGCCGCTCTGGAGCAAATGGACGGGATCATCGCAGGTATGTGCAGGGAGCCCTCACGACTCACAGCTCACCCTCCATCCTAGAGGAACCGTTTTCTGTCCTCTGACCTTCCTTCCTGGCACAGTGAGAAACCCCTCGGTAGATGGGTTGTGTTTCATTGTACATGCCATCTGTTTGTGTAGGAGTTCGGGCTCGTGGAAGTTTTTGATGCCTGGGTGAGGTTAGGGCTGCTGAGACAGCGTGGGTGCCTGCACGGTGGCAGGCCTTGAACTGCGACACGGCGTGGGTCCCGGCTCTACGGCAATTTGGCTGCAGTAAGATCACTTTTACTGTAAACTGGCCAGAGCACATGATGGCTTATCACAGTTGAGCTGAAGCGAAACTCAAAAGTGGCGACTTTGCTACCTGAGTGCCTGTGTCAGCTCCCTTCCCCAGCTGGTCTCCAGTGTGTTTGGGACTCAGGAGGTCGTGTGGTGTCGAATCACCTCGCCACCTAAAGATTGTTCTTGGGGCGCCTGGGTGGCTCAGTAGGTTAAGCATCTTTTTTTTCTTAAGATTATGTGAGAGAGAGATCACGTGTGAGTAAGGGGAGGGGCAGAGGGAGAGGGAGAAGCAGACTCCCCTCCAAACAGGGAGCTTGACATGTGGCTGGATCCCAGGCCCCTGGGATCATGACCTGAGCCACCCAGGAGCTCCAGCATCTGACTCTTGATTTTGGCTCAGGTCATGATCCCAGGGGCCTGGGATCCAGCCTCATGTCAAGCTCTGTGCTCAGTAGGGAGTCTACCTGAGGATTCCCTCTTTCCCTCTCCCTCTGCCCCTCCTGCTCCTGATCTCTCTCTCTCTCTCTTCAGTAAATAAATCTTAAAAAAAAAAAGAGAGAGAGAGAGAGAGAGAGAATGCTCTTTATGCCATATTGTATCTTAAACCGATCATAACTGACTTAACATTCACATTTGCCAGTTAGGAGTACTCCCTAGAAGAGACCCAGCAAAACTGGTTAATTGGAAAAAGGCTGCCAGTGAGCTGTTTGGGCTCTTTAACTCTTCCATAGGGGGAGCCCAAGACCGTATTGATTAGAATAAACCTGTCATTGGAGATCTTTCCCGAAAATCCCAGGTCCTCTTTCCGCCCCTGACGCAACAACAAGTCAGTGGCCTGATTTGCCATGCCGGACATGCTTCTTTGGGACTTTGCTCTTTTTCATGTGGAACTTCAGCTGGAGGAGGCTGGGGACAGGGGCTTAGGCTGAATGTGGCTAAAGCCAAGGATGTGTGTGTAGGTACCTGATATTGCCTCTTGCCAGGCATTTGCTGTTGCTTCTACCCTGCAGAGAGAATCTGACTCACTGAGCGTTCTGGGTGTTGGTGTCTGGGGTGGGGGTGGGATTGTGTGTTGAAGACTCCTTATGTTTTTTGGGTCCCCTGCAGCCAGGCTGCTTGGCTCAAATCCTAGCTCTACAGCAAGCTGTTTACCTGACCAGGCTTCAGTTTTCTTCATATTTAAAATGGGAATAATAATAGTACCCACCTTAGAGGATTGCCGTGTTTACCCACATAAGGTGCCAAGAACAGTGCCTGGCACATACTAAGCACTCTAAAATGTTAGCTTTTGATAAAGTAACAAGAGATTGAAAGAAATCTTTATTACGTTACATCCTCTCTAGGGACATGGTAGAGTTCTTATTTATTCTGGACCTCATCTCACCCATTTGAGTTTTGTGTCTTTCATTGAGTAAGGCTTGTGCATGCCTTGCTAGACTCTCGCAGGGCTGCAAGCTTCATGCAGCGTCTTCCGAGTGGTCTCTGCCCTGTTCTGGCCCTCTACAGGCTGTCTTTCACAGAGCGGCAGAGCCATCTTTGAAATGTACATCAAATCACAGTATTCCTCTCTCCAAAGCTCATCAGTGGCTTGCCATCTCAGGATAAAATCTGAAGTCCTCAATGGAGCCAGCACTTTCAGACCCAACCTGGCCTTTGGCCGCCTTTATGACCACACCTACTACCACTTTCCTCCTGACTTATCTTGCTTAAGCCTGCACAACAGCTGTCTCCAGACCTTTGTGCTTGCTGCCCCCTTCGCTGGAATGCTGTCCTCCAGATACCGTTCTGTCTGATCTCTGCCACCCAATCCCATCAGAGAGGTCTAACCTGACCCTCCCTAATTAGCATCCCCCCCATCACTCTGTCCTCATATCCTGTTTATATTTTTTTACAGCACTGATCACCACCTGACCTGTTACATTGCCATTTGTCTCTTTGTGTATCGTTGGCCTCCCGCACCAGATTGTAAGTTCCACTAGGACCGAGGCTTTGCTGCTCCATCTCTAGGACCTCAGTAGGTCTGCAAGCACGTATTAGGTGTTCAATAAGTACTGTCACATACACATTGTATCTAACTTTGTGAACAGGCTCTCCTTCTCATTGGTTAGGCACCAGCTGTTCATTTCTACAGTGTCTTCTTCTCTGGCTGTGCACTGAATTTCGTTTATTATTTTCTCTGGTGCCTTTCACTGATTCTTCTGGGCTCACCAGTTACTAGTTTTGTCTGAAGATTTGGTGATTGGCATATCCTGTGAACCATCTTTCAAGTAGTAATTGTCTCACACAGACATTTGACAGGAGCTGTTTGGCAGATAACTGAACATTGAGGTAATTAGTGAGTGTCTGGAGGGTATTATGTTCCACACCATTTGTGATGACAAGAATGATAATTTTTTTAAAAGACTTTATTTATTTGAGAGAGAGAAAGAGAGAGCACGAGTTGGGGAGGGGTGGAGGGAGAAACAGACTCTCTGCTGAGGGGGCCCGGCGCAGGACTGGGTCCCAGAACCCTGGGATCATGATCTGAGCTGAAGGCAGATGCTTAACCAGCTGAACCATCTAGGAGCCCAGGAATGATAATTATTGAATGTCTTTGTATAGGACACTCTTCTGCAAGATTATTAATACCCTCCTCATATTCAAGGTGTTTGGGCCAAACTGGACCAAAGAGCTTAAGAGTTTTTGTGGTTGTTAGTGTGGACTTCTGGGGCTTGAATCCCAGCTCCGTCACTTAGGACTGGCTGTGGGATGTTTAGGCAGACTGTTTAATCCCTATCTGAGCTCAGTTTTCTCATATATAAAATAATGGTATTCATACCTATCTAATATTATTGAGAGGATTAAATTAATGCAAATAAGGCACATAGGAAGTACTCAGTTGGTATAAGTTACTATTTGTTTGGTTGAGATTAGTACTGACATGATTTTTACCACCCAAGGTCACAGTGCTGGTAAATGTCAAAATTTTGAGTCTAGGGCCATCTGAGTCCCTTCAGGGCTGCTTTCCTGCCTGCACTGGTGTTATGATGATGTGTAAGAGAGCCCTAAGGGCTCTGTGGGGCCATCTGTAGAGAAGAGTTAACTGAGAGCGGGGTCAAGTTCTGTTCTTGCTATCAATACCCTAGCCAGAGTGACGTCGCTCTTGTCTGTCTTACACACCAGACTTCCAAGTAAGGGTTCCTTTGCCAGAAGGGTGGCAGCCAAGATGAAAACTGCATCACCACATCACGATGCCACCAATCCCACGGAGATGACATTTTTAGGTGAACATTTACATCATCCTTTCTGCATTTTTGCCCTCGTGTTAATTTGAATGATGTCCAGTGATGCTGAACTACCAAAACACAGTTGCTTCTGCATCTGTTCAGGTGCTCAAAGGAGTACCCAAGGGCTATATTCTCTCACTTTCTGAAGACACAATTACCACTTATTTCAAACGGAAGGAATTTTTACAGGCTGCCTGCACACCCTGGTAGCAATCATTTACACAAAAACAACACAGAATCCTCCTAAAATGGACACCGTTCCTTCAGTAATGATGGTTCATAGTTATAACAGTACAGAATGAGGGTTTCCCTTTATTAATTACTCTGTACTATGATAGGCTCAGTTCCACTTTCTGAAACTCTTTCCAAAAAGAGTACATGTAGGGCATGTGATATCAAGATTTCTGTAATTAAGTCTTTAAGGGGGGATAAAAGGTGTCATGGTGGCCCTTCAGGCTCCCAGTGGCTCTGGAGGTGTGAGGAGAAGAAAGGTCTTGCAAGCAGAAACATGACTAGGAGATGAAACTCCTCTTAAGGGTGAATTCTTGAAAGCTGAATGAGTGTTTCCTGGTTATGATGATACTTGATTGGCACCCCAAAATTCTATGCCAGAAAGTTGGAAAGAGGTGACTTTAAAGACCCCAGCCCCCTTGTCAGAATGATTTGTTCCTCGTACAGGAGACCGTTGTTAGCTTCCAGCAGGATGTTAACCTTTGCTCTCGCTCCTGATTAATCCCTGCGGTTTGGCCTGCAGATCATACCATAATTGAATTACACTCTTTTTTTTTTTATTTATTTGACAGATAGAGATCACAAGCAGACAGAGAGGCAGACAGAGAGAGAGGGGGAAGCAGGCTCCCCGCTGAGCAGAGAGCCCGATGCGGGGCTCGATCCTAGGACCCTGGGATCATGACCTTAGCCGAAGGCAGAGGCTTTAACCCACTGAGCCACCCAGGTGCCTCTGAATTACACTCTTGACAATTGCAACTGAACTATATATTGCTTAAGTACATCCTTCTGGGTAACTCAGAGCAGACTGCCACATCTTCTCATTTTGTGTGAGGCTTAATTTGTGGGCTAACAGATTCAGTGGCTGCTCTGTAAGGCCATTTCTGTGATAGTACCAGAGAATCCTGTGGTCAGGACACAGAGGGCCACGCATCCCTCTTCACTAGCAGGAGGTCACGCAGACAGTCATCTGCAGGCTGTACCCACCGATGAGGAATAGTCAAAAGGAACCTGTTAAAAAAAGAGGTTGCTCTGGGCCTTTCTGCTAACTCTGATTCGTGTCCGGGTGGGGTTTTGTTGTTGTTGTTGTTTTTAAAAAGATTTCGGTTGGGGGTAGAGAAAGTTCTGGTCAAGACTGAGATTATTCACCTTGGCTATTGAATGACTTCAGCTGTGGCATTAAAGGCTGCTGATGAGTCCATGCTGGGAACATGCTCTG